TCCAATGCAAATAGGAAGGGTTTGGGTGTGCAGAAGGTTGGAGAACAGCTTTGGTCATGTTAGAATGAGCAACAAAAGTCACTATTTCTTATAACACACCTAATGGACTGGACAGAATAGCAATGCAGCAGGTCTGGCTGAGGAACAGCTGAGAACAGGAAGGGCTATATAATAAAATATGGTCATGTATAAATGTGCAGGTATGGTACTCCCAATACATCTGGAAGTATCATGGTGGCTCAAATGCAGTTATGTGCTAGTTTAAAGTGAACATGTGAGGATACAAATAATGTAGCTACCATTCCCAACTCAGTTTCCAGGACTGCCATTCTGATCCTGGATTCACAACATAGTAGGTCCCTGACCTGAAATGACTAAGCAGAATGAGACTTTGCTGGCTATTTTATTTTTTAAGTTACTGGATAGTCAGGCCAGGGTCAGTTTACCAGCCCTAGAGCTGTCAGCAATGCCATCTTCCATATGTCTACCTTCACAGCTTTAAGGTAAGTTTAAAGTGAACCTGCAACCAGGCAATTGACATTCAAATGTTAACATATTCTTAGCGAGCACTTAATAAACTTTAAAATAAGCCCTTACTGACCTCTGTAGCTGCAAGTTTGAGTGAGTGAAGGCATTCAAGTTGGTTTTCAGCACTCTGCTCTCTCCCTTTTCCTGTGCACCTGCTCTATGTTTACATTAGAGATAAGAAAGATGGTAAGTTGCCAACTCACTCCCGGGAGGGGAGAGCTGAGCTACAGAGAGAAAGTTAAAGTGAAACTGGAAAGCTACTGTTTTAAAATGTAGGAATTAATTACTCCATAGTGTTTGCAGGCCAGTGAGGACTTGTTTAAACGTTTTTTGTTTTTTTACTTCTTGTTAACAATATGTAATATTTTAAAAGTCTATAGTTTGGCCACAGTTACTCCCATTTCTTACTAACACTTACTAACCTCCTCTCCTCACTGAGAGCAGTGATGTTGTTTAAACCCCTAGTAAGTACCAAAAAATCACCACCTAACTGATCCATAAATGGAAACTGTATTTTGCCCATTTGTATAGCTTTGTACTACTATTTGCATTGCTCATTGTATTACTTTGCTTAAAAAAAAAAAAGTTGTCATGTCACTACAACAAATAGGTTTCAACCTGTTTTTTTTCACAAAGCTATATAGATTAGAGACTGTAGTCGCTGAACTCATGACCATGTCTGTTTTTCATAGCAAATCAGCATTTTGTAACTGGTTAATGTATAAATTTAGAAAGGGTTTTAAGAATAACTGATCTTTTTGCATATACATTATGAATAATGCTACTACTAATTATTATTTTGTAATCGAATCAATAATAAGAAGCAACCACATTTTTTTAAATAAACTTTATTCTATATTACAAATAGTTTGTTTTTGTTGTTCTGGACTGCAAAATAGGAATGCATTATATTTACATACACAGGTATACAATTAATTATAACAAAGTTACAGAAGCTTGCCTTTACCAAGTTACAACTCTTTTTTCCAATTTAAATAGTATATCTAGGATAATAAAAACCTCCATTCTAATATTCATTGTTTTATCTCTTTGAGGCTCTTGGTAACATTGGACTCTAAAGATATGGTTATATAGGTGGAAGCTTTATCAAAAACCATCCTGGTCCATGGGTTTTTATGTGCAGGCTTCATGCCATGTAAAGTGTACCAGGATTACCTATAGTAATCCTGGTAAGAAATAGCTTTGGACTTGCATAGACATATTGCAAGTGCTAACATATGCACAATATTTATATCGAATATGCAATACTTTTTGATCAAAACAAGGGCATCTAATATGGTACATTTCATACAATAAAATCTGCCAGGAAGACAAACATTCACATTAGACATATTAATAAAAATCTGTATTGACTTTGTGAATACTATCAGGCTTGGGAAAACAAGAAACCTCTCAAGCTGGAAGACGCTTAAAAGCTTTCAGCATTAGACCATCTTGTTACAGAATTGGAAAGCATTTTAAAGCATAGCATTACAGCCCTTCACAGATTACTATGGAGAAGATACTTGTATATATTTATACACAGTTAGAAGGTATACAAACGGAAGTTGAAAAGAATAACTAGAGAAACATACAAGAGCTTTGAAGAGGAAAAGAAACATACTCTTAACATGGAGGTCCTAAACATAGCATTGAATCATTTGCAACCAGCATGTTCTCATCAGAAGTTCCAGTTTTGCAAAAATGTAATGGCTGGCTAGCTTCATAATTAGTATTTTTTCATGACCTCAAGTTCCCACTGGTTATATAATTTTATTACGAAGAGACTTTCCTCTTAAGCATTTGAAAAAATTTCTGCAGATTAATGTTACTGATGTCATTTTGGGTATACGGTTGTGTACTTCACTATTATTGTTTATTTTACTAGGGTTGATACCCTATTTGAATATGTTGTGAAACTGCAAAAAAATCTACTCTATTGTGCCCAATAAGTTGATCTTTTAATCGCATGTTCCCTATTCAAGCTGTGACATCAGCAGCAATACTGGTAGGATCAAAATGATTACCCTATGCAAGACACATTAAAATGTAATACACAGAATGATCATCTGGCAACAGCCACCATAAGACTTGTACAGAAAATGTACATTTTACACGGGCACCAAGTAATCAGGTGATTTTATCTGTCAACTGTGTTCCATAATACAGAGAAAGTGAGTTGCCATTGGGTTATATAACAGAAAAAAATTGGATATTCTATCTCATCCCACCTGCATATTTCAGAGATATAAAAAGCCAGTATTTAATTCACTTGCAAGCAGAAATGCAAAAAATAAATGCCAGCTCTTTGTGAAGCTGGCTTTTTAGGATCAACTCCATCCAAACTTTTTATTTGCAAGGTGTTCTTACCAATATTTATGTCCCAGTAGTAAAGATTTTACACCCAGGCTTCTGTCCCTGTGGCACAGGGGGAAGGGATTTCCCATCACATGAAGTGATGGGAAATCGTCCCAACAGGGACACAGCAATAAAACCGGACAAACATTCTAACTTGCTCTACTGTAAATCGAAAAGAAAAAAAATATTTGAGTTGGGCATAAAGTAAGATGATGCAATTGTAATTTAAGTTTATTTCATAAAAAAACGAATGGGGTTTATGTAAAGGTGAAAGTAATTGCAGTCTATACTATACAACATTTTTTGGACATATGGTGATGTTGCAAAAGTTTTTGAACTCAAATATGATTATATGTGTATTTTTAATATAAATTCTCAAAAATAAAAAGTAAATCCTAGTTATTTTAAAATCATAATTTTGTAATATGCAAAGATACATTCTAGTCATTGACATCCCCCAAAGACAGTACACGATATGCAAACATAGTATGAAGAGGATACTTTAAAGAGAAGATAAAGCTTTACCTGATATATAGACCTGTGATTACATTATAATACTATTTGTAATTGATATAATTAAATCCATGAATCTGTTTTATTTACAATAGGCTTCAATGGTCCCCAAACAAGGGAAAATAATGCAATATCTACATTTGCCAGGACAGCAAATGTGTGTTTAGAAGCTTGGAAAAGGACCTCAACCATTGTACATATATGTGAGCCATAAAATTTTAGTGATATGAATTTCGAGCCATTTGGATCTGGGGATACATTTTAATCTGCAGAAAGTTTAATTAGTTCCAATTCAGTGATATCTCTATTTCTGAAACCCATACCATTCTGCGGTCTTTGATAAAGTTTCCACCTTAACATAGAATATAGTCACATAACAAACCACTCAGATCAATGCTTTCAGGCAGACAAAAATAAAAAAAAGAACTTAAATCAGGAAGAAGGAATAACATGGGAACCACGTCCACATCTTCAGCGAGGCTTTAGTTTCTCTCAGCTTTAACTGTATTAACATGCGCTATTTTCATATAAAATTAACTGAAATCTAAGGTATACCTCTGGAGCTCCAGGGCAAAGACCCTACACATTCACAGCACAAATCTGGCAGATCCCAAGGCAAGAAAGAGTTTTGAGGAACAAAGCAAATTAAAAAAAGTAGAGGGTTTGAGACGGGTAGCTTTGAAGCTCACAATGGTCAACACGAAAAATTACATTTTTCTATATGTACTTATCTTTTTTCTTTTTATTTCTTTAAATTGTCTGAGGCTGTTTTTTCTTAAAAATGGAAAAAATATTTACTATACAAAGAAGAATAAGGTAAGGTTGATTGAATTGGATAGCATAGTGGTCTACTCATATTCTTTCTGTACAGCTGTGCAAATGTTTGACTCATCATCTTCCTATATATTATGTGGAACATCTGGACTGGAGCAGACACAAATGCATACGTGTTTGTCCTCGCCATCATTGTTCTCAAGAGGGCGAGCAGAAAGCCTTTGAGTTGTGGCAATAACACACCACCGTGACCTTTGGTTTTTTGTCTACAATTCTTTGAGTATGTTGCTTCTTCTTCGCCTTACAAAGAGTAGTTGCCAACCAATGCGTTAGATTTCATTTAAATGGCATTTATAGTTCAAAGGCCATCAGCCAATTCCAAGAAAATGCTATGAAAAGTTCAAATAAGGTGCATACAGGATTAAGTGCTCTCAACAAAAATAAACATGACTCAGCTGTGATTTTCTGTAGGCTTCCAGCTCATGGCAAACCAAATCCATACTAAGGTATTCTGTTTTTGATTGACATAAATGTACAAAATCTTTATTTTTTACTTATCATTACAGAATAAGAAGACTTGTTATGGTTCATCATTGTCCCACGATGAAATGACTTACATTTTACCATCTAAAATATTGAAATGTCAACCCTGCAAGTTTACAAAAGGAAGGTAGAATAACCTTGGAAAGATACTGGAATTACCTGGAATTTCAATGTTATAGTTTTAAAATGAGTAACTTGTTGTCACTCTTGTTGGATTACTCAAGCAATGTCAAAGACACTATATCCTGTTATCCCAAATAAAAATTGTGCTGATATTCTATTGCTTTATTTTTATTTATTTTTTTGCATGAATATCAAAATTTGTGCTAATCCAAATGGCAGTCAAAATGTTTATACTCCAAGCCTTCAGAACGTGTGTAATCCTTCCAAGGCTGAATAAATAAAATTAATGGTGGTCGTCCCTGTTATATGAATTACAGATTTTCTCCCTGGTATATGATGGACTTTTTGATGTTTTTGATGCATTGTGCTAGATAGTACAATCAATGTTTGATGTACAAAATTATTTCTTAAAACAAACTTCAACAATCTCATATTTACATAATTATAAATTAATAAATTGTGGTTTGCACTAACACATTTACTCTTGGTTCACTGTCTGCCACTGAAGAAACAAATCACTGGCATTTAAGAAGGCAGGATATTTAATTGGCAGAACCATCCTAGGAAATGGTCAGGCCAAATTCAAAGTATACAATATAAAATGGAAAACTGAGTCTAAAGTGGTGCTTGTTTAAGGACAAACTAAAGCTTTTGTGATGCGATCACTGCTCTGTGTGCTGTAACATGAATACTGGATCCTAAAATTAAAAACTTCTGTATAATATCTGAAACCATAGCTATGTACATGGAAAACTATATAAGTAATATAGTACTGTTTCTATGTTTTATCAAAATATGTAAGATCCTTGGGGACATGGAGACAAAGCTAAACTATAGCATTAGAGAGCAAGAGCTAATTGTCATTTCCAAGAGAGAAAAAAATATGGATCTAAAAAAAGAAAGAAAACTTCTTTCTTCTTATGGCCTCTTGGAGATTAAAGAAGGATTTTCGCATATTTAATTTTCATGTTCCATCTTGGAAGGCTTCCATGAAGACATCTTTCAAGTCATTTTGTTGGGATCTCAATCATGCCAACTTCTGCTGAAGAAGGTTTTTTTTTTATTTTATATTATCTGTCAAAATCCTTAATACTAGGTTCATGTTCCATCCATAGCAATTCATGGCAAGGAGAGGAGCTACAAGCAGCACAGCACTTAGGACCTTAAAGTTTCCCATACTGATACGGATAATGTGACCATTTGTCTGCAAGCAGAGGTCTTAGCTAGAATGTTTTTGATTCCCAAAGTTGTCCACATTATATGTCCTTCCTTAATCCAAGGGACAATATAATGTATCCATGAGGTTCATAGAAGGAAGAAGCAGAAGCAGAAGACCCTGCATCCAGCCAATCGGAACTTGCACTTGGTAAAGATGACAATCTTGACTGAGGCACGGCTTGGTTTATCCCTTCCAGGGTAACCTGGAAGGACAGTTTTCAGCTGTCTATACTCATCAGTGTAATGACTTGTTCTAATTTGTAGGCAAGTTTTTGTTTTCCAGCTTGGTCATCTTGATCTAAAGCTGTTAAAATCTGAAAAAAAAGAAAAGAAAAAAGCTATTTTATAGATGTATAGTCAGTCTATCAATAATGAGATATCACATTCAAGTTTATCTGACATCAACAAGAACTATAATAGATGATAATATTAAAGTGGTAAATCAGTAAAAATTAAATAAAAAATCTACTCTGGTGCTGGCTATTCTTTCCTATTTCTGTTAAAGCATTAGAGAAAAGCAAAGAAGTAAGTTAGAAACAGTGAGATCAAGCATTGAGATTAAAATTGACGTAATTAGTAAAATGATGTACGCTCAAGAATCACCTTAAGCATTTGGAACTCGCTGGTTACACTAAAATAAATAATGCTGGATGTTAGGTTTAGTATAAAATAAGGATGCACCGATACTAGTTTTGCGAGTACAAGTACTGGTACTTGCCCAAGTACTTACAAGTACAAGTACTGATACATTTTTGTTTATTGTCATGTGACAGTTTTTCTAAAACAATATCGACTAATGATTTCAGGACAGTGGTGGAGCGCTAGAGCCAGGTACCAGCTGCAGCCGCTGCAACCCTGGTAATTCTGATGAAAATGCCAAGTATTGGCAATGGTATCTGAAAAGTATCGGTGCATCCCTAGTATAAAAGATGCCTTCTTAATGGAGTTTAGACGTGTGTATATAAGGGATTCTGGTATACTGATTCAAGTCATGCTGTCTGATAATCATAATAAATGTGCCCATTTTAAAGAAGGAGTCCCACCTTACATTATTTTTCATAGCTCAGTCACCTAACTCCCAAAGCGTATGTTGCTTTTTATCCCATGTTTCTGTGTGCAGTAGAAGCTGAGATCCAGATGGTGACAGCATGCCTCAGCTCCCCATTTCCAACCACACTCTGCAGGCCTCTGGATTGACAGTTCTTATCTCACTATCTCTGCACCTTTGTGACACAAAACAAGGTTCCCCTTTCAAGTTTAGTCCCTGTGCTGAATTCTGTGAGAGTGTGCTCCCTCCTGCATTTCTGTGACTTTGCTGGTGTTAGGAAAGGGCAGGGATCATGAGATAAGAGCTGTCAATCAAGAGGCCCATCTCCTTAGCAAAGTGTTGTTGGGAATGGGGGCAGTCACAGCTTCTTCTGCACAGGGACAGGGCATCGTTGGCACACTTTCCGTGTGTCCTCTGTGCTCGGTCATTTAACTAGAGACAACTGATGACAAGAACATGAGCAGGGAACTTAATTTAAATCTTCCTTGTGTTGGTCTGTGACTTTCGAATGCAGCTCTACAACAGATCATGTATTGCTTGCCTAATTACTTGGCTCATTCTACTTTGTTTTAACGTGTTTATGTGGGGGCAGTAGAAGAAATGCGTTGGCATCCCCCTGGAACAGGGGTCTGGACATAGTTGTTACTGTTGCAGTCCCTAAACCTCTGCTACTGAACATGCCCAGATGCTACAATCTACATTAATTTCGAATTAGCAGAATACAAGTAAAGGTTGACATTTTCAAGTGAACCTGTGCTTTGCTCATGCAGTGGAAAGTAATAAGTTAATTTTAATGTCAGATCCAACAGCTGATTTTACCTTCTTTTTGTTTCACTCCTTTGCTGCCCGATTGGTCAATGGGAGGAAAGTGAGAAAAGGGGAGCATGTTACTCCCCTTCCTCCCACACAACAAGGCTAGTGTTGGGTGATTGGCCACTCAGAGATCCAGCCCTATAACATGGGGACAGAGAGAGAGTCCCCAGCATGTGTAAGCTCCTAAGTTATCTGTAACAAAACTAGCTTATTTATTGCATATAGAACCAAATTGTTAAATGTGTGTTTTTTTTTTTTAATAATAAGCATCTAACAACACCTTATATTGTTTTTCTATAACCACAGTAAAATAATGCTCTAAAAGCAATATCACTAGCTGCAGCTAACAGACTTTTTCTCCAAAACCAATTAGGACTTTGGAAGATATCAAGTATTGAAAAGCGCAGTTTGTAATGACTAATTATTTTGTGGCAAATGTCTGGCAAGAACAGACAGTAACACTTTCAAAGGGAGCACAAGTGGTTCACAAAGAGAAAGAGAAGAATCACAGTGACCTAGTAGTAATGAGATTAATTCATCAACACCCAGATAGAAGCTTTCAAACAAGTCGTTTGGCAATTCTACATTCTGGGTGAAAGGGAATAAAACGCAGTAAGCAATCAAGAGCCCTTTTCAGGGAATGTTTATGAACATCATTTTTATAAAACACTAAACAAATATAACAGAATAATAACCACAACTTTCAAGGAGAGGCTTCTGTTCATGTTTACAGACTGTTAAAATGTGCAATAAAAAGATAAATTGTTATGTTTTTCGGAGGTCTTCAATGTGCCTTAATTATAGTATTTAAGCTTTACAAAATATTAATTATGATTGCAAAGAAATTTCAAACAAGCCGTTTTTATAGATTTCTCCGAATTTTTTTTTCTGTATTTATGTATGCATCTTTTTAAATTACTGAGCTTCTGCTATTAAGATTGTCACTCAGATTATGTGGACACCACAATGGCAACAGTGAATTTAAAAAAGCATAGCTATTTACAGTATCATATTCAATTAGTTTTTTTTTGTGAAGATCAGACAGTGTAATGGATACTGTTAGTATAATTAAGTCTGCAAATATTAAAATGCGTAAATGTTTTGAAATTCATTCATACATCTGACCACAAATTAGACTGTATGCCTTAATAAGCAGAGCAACTTCAAGAGGAACTTCATTACGCACTTAATATATCTAAGTGGTATCATTCAAAAAAAAATTTCTGTAATAAAGATTTTTAGGGTTTCTCTAGCAGTCATACAAATGAAAATGAATTGTTGTGTGCAATTACTGCTGCCGTACATGTCAATGGGATGGTTTCATAATGAAATTAAATCTTGATGGGCTCAGACTGCAACTTATTCTGAGGGCCTCTTTATACCTATGAGTTTTACTGCATTACTGTGTGATGCATTTATGTGTATTCTCCTTTTTTTTGATGCATCAATGTGCTTTATGAGGCCTATTGGTGAAAATGGCAGTGCATGAAAATGCATGATCGTTGCTAATGCATGTAAAAACTAATGAAAGCTTATGCACAGAAAGATATGAATCCAGCCTGGGTGTTTGTTCAGGTAATATGTATATTAGGAACCCTCTTACGTTAAGAAACTGACAGGTATACAGGAACTATAAGTGGGACCATTTTAATTGATCCCATCAAGCTTCCTCTTATTGAACAAACATATGGGGATTGGTTTACTAAAGTGCAGTACACTTTGCAAGGGAATTTTCACTTTGAAAGGGGATTTTGCATTTGTATAGTGAATTTGGTGAGAATTCACTTTGCAAAAAATACCCAATCATGCGCATGGAAAATAAAAAAAATTAAAAAACAGTACTTTTGTTTGCACGTGATTGGATGATGTATGTCAGCAGAGCTTCACCTCATTTACTAAAGTAAGGCAAAATTAGCAAAGTAAACAACCTTTTTGCCTTTAGTAAATCCCCGTATGTTTATACATTGCCATGATATGTTGCCACTAGATGTTTATAATTACAATTCCTTTTTAGCATTTTGCATGTAACCATGCGCTGCTTATTTAAAAGTATTGTTTTATGTTAACAGCCATTTCAGGCTAGGGAGAGGCTGAGGGGAAGGTGATTGTAATATATTACAATAGGATTTCTTAACAGAAAGCTCTTCTGTAAAGGAAAATGCTGGCACGTGTTTTAGGTTTATAGGTCCTCACTTACGAAAGTTCCACTAACAGTGAAAAACAGAATTACGCATATTATATACAAAAAACACTGTGCAGTTTGTCCCTTTATACTCAGCTATTAAGCCAGCACACTGATATCAGCAGCCAATTAATTTCCTTCCGCCAATAATTAAGTAAGTTTTTAATTAGAATGAAGCATTTCCTGCTATATTTGAGAAGGGCTGAGCAATGAGATGTGTTGTGTGCAATGAGATGTGTCCTGCCATAAAGCAGAGAAAGCTATTAACACTAAGGGATTAAAACTCTCAAGTTAAGTTTGACTTTGCTAGCTGTATACAAAATCATCATACCATGCGAATTACTTAGTATCCAGAGATTCATTATAATAAAACATACAATGTGTAATATACTCTGCCTGTGTCTTTTTATCAGTATGTATCCAAGAATATTTCTGAACAGGGTCCATATGTTTTCTTAATTTCTTTGTTGATATGCCGATGGCTTCCCAGATGTTCTATGTCATTCTCAAATGCTATACTCATCACAAAGCTGGCATCACTTCATAAGCTTGTCTCATTTCTTAACTTCCAGATAAAATGTTAACCAATAACAGATGCACTGCACACTGATCTTCTGCTTAACATTCCCAGTTCGCAAGAGTGAGTTGCAAGAGGATGTCATATAAGGTGCAAAATGATTTCTTAAATGGTTATTAGTTATGCTCGCTAAATAGTCACTCATCCCAAATGAAACAATTTTATGCTATTTGACTGGCAAAAGTCTAACACAATTCAATACCCATGGTACTTGTAAATCAGTAATATAAAGATTATAACTATAAAAATAAAATTACACAATAGAAGCTGGCATAGTAAAGTCCATTGACCAACATATACGCAGAGTTGTATATTAAATGTACAGTTTTATTAATAATAAACATTTACAAGTTAAATGGAATTCGATTTTTTAGTGGTAACAATATTGCATTTAAGCAGGGTTTCCTATTACATGGAAATCCCATTTTTTGCCTAAAAAGTATAGTGACATAAAATGATCAGGCAACTAGAATTTTCCAAAGGAAGACAGAAATGGCTGTCCTCCTTTTTCTCTGATAGGCTTACTTTAAACATAAAATGTAATGATGTTGGGTCAGTGCCAGATTTTTTTTGTTTACAGTTTAAAAATTTTTATTTGCTGTTTTAATAGGTTTTTTATTATGCATGTAAAATCTATATTACAAATAAACATTCAATACAGGGTATATTCACAACATTGATGTCACGGAGCATTATGGGTTTTCCAGAGAGCACAGTAGGAGATTTTTATTTTGTGGCTGTCCATGGTTAACTGGAACTCCGTACAGCCATGTTTGAACAGATCAGAAGGGGAGAAAGGGAAGGGGGTTGATTAACTCCTCCTTGATGCATTCTATTTTGTGTATAAACTGTTATAGGATTCCTTCTCTTGCACAATAAGCTTTTTTTTCAATAAATCAGTGAAGATTTGTCTGGTAAACGTATGTAAAGGAGACTAGAGCTGCACCCACTGGCTGCCTTATATTAGTTGACTATGAGCAAACCCTGTTACAGAAATAGGCAATTTTATTAAATAAGGGTATCACCATGTAATCTCACCTCTTCACTATACTTTCCCACGTATGAGTAGATCTCTGAGAGCGCGCTCATCGTGTTAAATTCATTCATGTGCATCCGAGACTGTTCCGCCAAATAAGCATTCATGTCTTGGTCACTTATAGCTGGCATTTTGGCAATGTCTGAATAGTATCTGAAAGCAGAATAACAAAGCTTATACGTTAAGGCCAGAACAAGCACATACAACCTGTAAAAATAATTAACCAACAATGTTCTTATTGTTTTAGCTGTTTTGCGATACTGATTTGTCTGTGTAACATCACAATCACAATGGAGCACCACAGAAACTATTCTTCACCGCTGGTTTATTCTCATTATAATCACATTTCATTTAAACTGATGATGTGATTAAAACTGAGTTTATCAGCCTGTTCATGCATATACAGTTTTGTTTTGTTTTGTTTTGCTAATTCAAATGTACATACTTAGTGAGAGAGGAAGAGTAAGATGGAACAAGATCAAAATCAGATGTTCAACTTCTCTAGAATATTTATAAAATTATACTAACAAGGCTGATTCTCCTTCCTTATATTCATTCTGAGGAATTGATCTAGTTATATATTAGTCACATAATAAATACAACGTAGGAATACTTTACCCCTTTTAACTCTACAGGTATGTAACGATCATATGGTAGATAGCATATACAGTATATTTTATACTCTCCTTTACTTATGTTAGAAACTAATAGGACTTTGAGTTCTGTACTGTCAGTACATAATGAATACAAGATGTTGGCTTCATTATGACTGTTCAAATATAAGCAGAGAAAAAGTTCCTTGCAGCTAGAGTATGTAAGACATGAGAACCTAACATACCATAGTGTCTTTCCTTTACTGGTTTCCTTGAACTGGGTATTCAAGAAGATGGTGACACATTATAAACCATCCAGAAATTTTAAAATCTGTATGTAACACAGATCTAAATTCTTATCTAGCCCGTGCATAGCAAATACATGGCTAAAATGCCAATGTAAATGTATCTTCTTAAAGGCAGTATGGTGGCTAAGTGAGTATCTGCCTTGCATTGCAGTGTTGGAGCTCTGAATATATTTATCAACAGGAACATTAATACATGGCATTTTATGTTCTCCAAATGTGTGTATGGGTTTCCTCTGGTGGATCTGGGTGCATCCCACAGTTCAATGAGGTGCACCTGCCCAGATTGGTTCTGGGGAGTGTATGCATTACTGGGTCATAAGGACATTAAATTGTGATCTTTTCTGCAGTAGAAAGAGTACATGAAAACAGTTCAGTATCGTAATCCCTGCAGAATAGTTTGCGCATGGCAGGAATTAGTGTATCTACTATTCTCATCCCTTTCAGAGTGTAATATAAGTCTGAATTTTTTTATCTCCTTGCCCAAGTACTTTTTTTTAACTCACCCTCACCATTATGGATGCTAGGAACCAAAAGATCTTGTTATAGGATTCCTTCTCTTACACTTCTAGCGATGGTTTGAAGCCCCTTAACTAAGGGAATTAATCACATTGGCTGACTCTATAATAGTTAATGTAGTATGTAATAAAATATAAGTATAACTGTACTTTAAGTAAACATTATTAATTGAGATGTCTACTTGTAGCTTATACAAAAATGCCAATATGATGGCTTACCTTTTCTGAAGCAAAAATCTGTTTTCAGCAAAATTAACTGACTCTGTGTTTGCATCTACTTTTGGGGTAAACAAACTGTTCCTGGCCACCACAAGAGGGTGATGTTTGGAAATGGGAGACCTGTTCTTCATTGACCTGAATATACAAACCTTGCAGTATTCCTGGAAACAGAATTCCCTTCATAAAAAGTAAACACATAATACTGGTACTTTTGTCAGAGGCACCTAGGGCAAGTGCATATATATGCATGTCAAGCCTGTAGTTTCCCATGACTCTATAACTCATGCACATTGAGGGGAATTTATAAAAACTGGAGCAGACAAAATATAGTGGAGCTGCACATGGTGGCAACCAATTAGCTTCTGTCTTTCATTTTCAAAGCCTAACTGAACTAACTCAAGAGAGAAGCTAATTGGCTACTATGAGCAACTATTCCAGATTCTGTCTGCTCCAGCTTTGATAACCCCCCACTGTGTTTCAGACATCATTATTTCTGGTTTGGTATTAAAACAATGCCATACAAATCACCTGTTTAAAAGTGTCACTAATGGATGAAGCAAATCTGATTCAAACCTAAAGGTGCCCATACACTGCTCGATTCTCGTACGAGAATCGGGCGAAATATAATGAGCATACGACCATCGCAAGACAAAAGTCTTGTGATGGTCGTAAGGTGTATGGGCACCTTTAGACTATCCAAATTTCATTGTAGCACATTCCCTTTTCAGACTCATCAAAGAATGTTGTATTCTTCATGTCCTTCATCCCTGGTGTAATTCCAGTGTGAGCGGACGTTGCATGAAGAAGGCAATCAGTCATTGCCATTCGCATCTGTGCTTTGCTGTCAACTAGTTAATTAGACTCAATCATTTACATATTTAATTTCTTCATTCTGACATTCTGTGCACCATAGAAGTCTGCAACATGATACATGATTTTATAATTAGGAGTACATTCTGATATACTAAAATAGCTGACAGGTGTCCTGTAGACATCTACTAAGCATAGGGACTGTTTTAGGCATCTGCTGAGTTCAGGGAATATACCATAAGGAAAACAAATGGAGACTGATATCTTACATAATATAAAGACTGGTTTGACTATATATAGAGATGCCCTTTAATAATGGAAACTATACTTTTTGGTAAGTTAATCTTCAGCCTTAATTGACAAGAAGCTGGTAAAATCAGTGGGGTTTCTGTTTTACTACATTATATATTATTGTTAATTGTTTTCTTTATATATTGTGAATATCTTATTCTTTTTTTAGTTAGTCATTGTTTATGATCATTTCTTCCCTTGTGTCTTTGTGTAATATTCTTACAAAAAACTTTATAAAAGACTTTATAAAAAAAAAAAAGAATCAGTGGGGTTTAGAATCTCATGTCACAATAATGTCACTTGGTTCTACTGAAATTAGAGAATGTATACTGTGAAATATATAACTTGGAAAAAGAATGGCTGTTTGCACTTAAAATGGTGACTGATACACATTAAAGTATGTGTGGAGAAAATATATTTAGGGGGTTATTGACAAAGCTGCCATAGGCAGCCGAGTGAATAACCGACCCGAAGTGAAGTTCCCCGCTGTTCGGCTATTCACTTCAGGCTTGTACAGCTGATTTCAGCCATACACCGACTAAAATCAGCCGTACATCGTCTTGCTGCGGCTGGCTTCGGGTCGGCCAAACATGCCCAGCATGTTTGGCCGACCCAAAGTGCAGAAGGAGTTCAACTCAGCCGATCCAACATCTGGATCGGCTGAGCCGAACCTCCGGCAGGCTACTCGCTGCTGTTCGGCCTATTCTCATAGATGCAGAACAGCAGTAAGTGAATAGCCGAATGCCACTGAGCGGCATTCGGCTTGGCTATTCTGCTCGGTACCTCTAGGGCCGAGGGGTCCTGGGGCCGAAGCTAGCTGAAGGATCAGCTGAAGCTACGGCTAGATCCTTCGGCAGCTTTATGAACAACCCCCTTAGTCCATATCTGCAATACACAGTCATTTCACCATCTGCACAGATGTACTGGATTTTTTTTTTGTGCTTTTTTGCCTAGGCGTACACTTTAAGTTCAGGTTTAGAAGTGAATGTGTGTCAGGATTTCATATGAGTTAAACCAGAATCGTGCAAATTATTAACAAATGCCCTATTATGCCTTTCAATGTGTCTGGCCGCTGTATGTCTACAGACACTACAACGTTTATTATTATTTACTAATATTAATACCATAAAAAACTAAGACATGGCAAAAAAAAGCTGGATTTATGTATGAATGCTTGTAGCTGTTGCTGCTATGTACTAGGAGATTGAGCCAGATTGCCACAAGAGTTGGCCTTTGGAGTGTGCAAGCTGTGAGGCAACAGGGGCGCTAGATTTTGGGGTGGCAGGGAGTAGGGTTGCGGCACA